TCTAGACTGTTGAAGTTCCATCCATCATCCTGTTTAATGCAATTTCTAATCCCCTTTTACTTATTTCTATATTTCTACCGTTTTTTCTTTTTTAATCTAATTTATTTCCCAGTTTTCTCTACTCATTAATTAACTTTCCAACGAACTCTTATTGGAACTTTACAGATTTTGCTGTGTTTTCTAGATATTCCCATCATAAAATGTAACCCCTAAACCAGACCCCAACCTTAATTAGAGTTCAAAACCATCCAGTGGGTATCCCTGCTGCTGTCCGTTGAATTTTTTTGTTGTTTACACGTACGAATGGATGTGTGTATTTAAAATATTCCAAGAATTAATTTACACTTTAGGCATAAAAACTATTATTTGTGTGCGGGTACAAAAAATTAACATGACAGCTCTAGACATAGCAATTTCTCTCTAACATGCTGGGACACAACACAACTCTACTCTCTGCTCTGCTCATTTGTTGCGTTGTTTGTGTGCTGGTTGCTGTTGCTTTTGCTGGTGGCATTTTCTGCTGTTGATGACACTTTAATTAGAGCCACACGCAAACACAAAAGCTCCGACGTACAGTCAAATAGACAGCTCTCTCGTTGTGAAAGAACGAGCCAGAAGTCGTAGTCAGAAGAGACTGAGAGCCACGTCGCTATGTCAAGCGCACACTTTAACTGCCAGTTAAGAGAGCACCGACCGACAGACCAACCGACTGACTGACTGACGTCTATCCAGCCATCAGTTTTAAGTCTGTCGGTGGCGTATGGTGGCTGAAACTGACGGCAGGCAGCGTGTGGTTAACTGAAATGAATGTCCGACTGCATAAATGGCTGCTTGTCTGACACATTTAATTATATTAATGATATTTGCGGTCAGCTGACATTTGCACTTTATTCACCTTCTTTTTTTGGGGGAGGTTGGAGACAATGTCAGATCGTGGCATTTATATTTGTCTGTCTATATACATATAAATGTTTCCATGTGAACTAATCTGAGAGGTTAAAGGCTTTCGGATTGAAACTTGACATTTGCATGATCTTTATAAAAATAGATTTCAAAAGCTTTCCCCTAGAACTGTATGAGGCTTTAGATATACAGCGCATCCCCTAATTGTGTTAGACTTATTTGCAACTGCAAAGAGTATACAAACTTCTTTGTTAAACTTTCATCCTTTTTTGTTGCTGCTTGCTTTTTGAGTTATTATCCATTCGAATGCCGTTTAATGTTATTTTTTTTTGCAGCGCAAAAGTTTTGTAATTTTTCAACATGTGACAGCAAATTATCAACAGTCATTTTGTGTACTCTAAGGCGCCACATAAAAGATATACACAAATGATGACACTGACAGCTGTCAAGCTTAGTTTATTTGATGTTATTAAAAATAATTATTAGCAGATGCCATTAATCATTGAATAATTTATACACTCGTAGATAGTGTCTTAGATACACGAAACACAACAGAAAAAGGAGAAGGTTAGTCATTCACAGTCACCAGTAGACAGGCAGACGCAAAAGGAGAAATGAGAAATTAATCGTTTGAGCTTAAGAACCAGTTCGCAGGCTATTCGAAAATGTGTTCTGAATATTTTGTATACCCGGTACTCGAAGAGTAAATGGGGTATATTGTATTTGTGGGGAAAAACGGATGTAACGCACAGAAGAAAACGTTTCCGACCCCACAAAGTATATATATTCTTGATCAGCATCAGAAGCCGAGTCGATTGAGCCATGTCTGTCTATCCGTCTTGTTTGTCGGCTAGTTCTCAGAGACTATAAGAGCTAGAGCCACCAAATTTTGTGTTCAGACCGCTGAAACCAGTGTATTTAAAAAATGAGGCCGGTCCCCTTCCGCCATCACAAAGAGCTTCCACAGCCACAGTTTTGAAGATAAAAGAAAACTTAGAAACTATAGCTATAAGGTACAGATGTAATACTGAGTACCGGGTATAAAAGTTGTGACGCGTAAGAAGCGACTCACACGTCTCTTCTCGTTAAATATTTCTTTGTTCCGCTTTCAAATTAAAATTATATATATTTTTTAAAGCACATTAATATATAAAAAAGAATTCTTCAATTATGAATATCTGGAAATGTAGGATTCTGAACTAACTACTATTCTACGAACCACTTTCAATTTAATGATAGTCCCCATTAAATTTTCTATAATTTAGATCTAACTTCTATTAATTGTTAGTAGTTAGCCATATAAAAAGATGATTTATAGCCCTTGTTGGCATCATTATCATCAACAAATTTGCACCGAAACCAGTTGATAGTTTCCCATCCATTAAGATGTGTTTTGTAAATTAATAGCCATCTTTTTTTTTGCCTTTTCAATAGCTTTCACCCAAGAAAATCTTTGTAATCACGCTGAATGTGGCACCACCAAAAATGAGTTTTACAAAAAATTACCCAGTTAATTAATGTACATACTCGTACTCGTACACGTACTCGTCCAACGAGTGGCTGGTGCCATAAACTGCTTCCGTTCTATATGAACGAAACGTACTCTATAAATTCAAATGGAAATTTATTACTCTCACTGCAGTTCGAAAGAGATAGGACACAGTGATAGGAGGAGGAGGAGCAAGAGGAGACCGTCACAACTTTGACTCTGATTAACTGCCATAGTTTCTTGCTCGTACTCGCAGTTTGTAGCGCAGCAGCAACATTGCGTTGCATCTGAGTCTCATTCGGTGCGAGAAATTGCATTTGTTATCTGTCATTATAAATTCAAATTTGGCGCACCATAAATTTGAATACAATTTCCAGAGGTGGTGGTAGTAGTCCTTTCGAGACTCTCTAAACACTTACACAAACTGGGGCAGCAACACCAGCAGTGGAAGTGGCAGTGGCAGTGGCAGCAGGGACCCACACGGGACCCCGCCGCAGTCTACACAGATTTACATAGTTTAATATGAACAAATATAAATAAGTTTTAAGTGCAGATATTGGGAAATTCATTATTCTACGGTTGTGAATTTGTTATTTGCTTTTTGCTCCCCCTCCCCTCTACACAGCCCAGCGTTTGTAAACAGTTCTATTCAACTTTTATTTCATTCGGGTAGCACACATGGGCCCAAGACAGAATGGCGGTGTTTGCCTAGAGAAAGGGGTGGCTACAGAGGTTGCTGAAAAATAAATCGACCCACTGTCGACATTTGCATTAAATTTGATAAATGGCATAACAATATCATAGGGCATAACAGCCAAATACTATGGAAATTCCTATTAGATATTGAAAGAAATGGATAGATGATGGAGGGGGTATATATCATAGTTCTCAGAAGATTAGTCTACCTTTAGATGGTTATAGAGAGAATTATATATTTCTATGAGGGGGTATACAGTATACAGAAAGTAAAATAAAACGAGAAGGGACGTGTAAGACGCTCTAACGCGTCACAACTTTTATACCCGGTACTCAGTACTACATCTGTACATTAGCGGTTTCTTGTACAATTTTACATTTTTTCTTCATCTGTCATCTACATCTACAACACTTCTCCCATCAACACGCTCCGTTAGCTCGCCGCCCTTCCCTAGACCCACATACTGCTGACTCGCGGCAGAGGCAGCGCCCGCACAAAAAAAAAAAAACAAATATAAGCTGCGGGACGGGGTGGGTTAAAAGTCGGAAGAGTCAATGGCAGGGGGATTTTCTTCATTGTTCATTAATTTCTTCATTGTGGCTATAATAATCGGATCCCAATTGGGTGATCTGATAGATATGGCCATTCCCTACGGAATGGCGTTTTTAGTTTTTTATCTCCAAAATTGTAGGTTTGGGAGGTTTTCGCCCTTTAGCGGGGGCGGAAGGGGCGGGGCTAATTTTTGAAATACACTCGTTTCAGTGTGAGCATACAGCAGTCTGGAGCCAAAATTTGGTGGCTCTAGCTCTTAACGTCTCTGAGAACTAGCTGACAAGATGGCTCTATCGACTCGGCTATTGATGCTGATCAAGAATATATATATATATATATACTTTATGGGGTCGGAAACGTTTCCTTCTGTGCGTTACATACAACCGCTATTCGCTATACCGGGTATTAATAGAGAAACAATAATTAACGAGAAGGGACGTGTGAGACGCTTCTTACGCGTCACAACTTTTATACCCGGTACTCAGTTAGTATATCTGTAAACAATATTTATTCGAATTGTACATTTGATATATTACATTTTTCCTACATATGTTATCTACATCTACTTCTACATCACTTCACACGTCAACACGTCCCCTAGAGCCGCACACTACACGAAGCAGAGTGTGGAATGAAAGAATGTGCAAAAAAAAAGCTGCTGGACGGGGTGGGGATAGCCACGGCAAATGAATTTCTTCATTCTGGATATATTAATGATCCAATCTGAACTCGGTGATCTGATAGGTATGGTCTTTCCCTACGGAATGGCGTTTTTAGTTATCTTCAGAGTTTATCTTCAAAATTGTGGACACAGCAGATTTTCGGCCTTTGGGTTGGGGCGGAATTTGTATTTAAAATACACTTGTAACAGTGTAAGCATACAGAAGTCTGAATTTAATTGCTATATTTCTTATGGTCTCTAGGTACTAGGCGCTGATTAGGGCGTACAGAGGGACGGACAGATAGACATGGCTATATCGACTCGTCTATTGATGCTGATCAAGAATATATATACTTTGTGGTGTCGGAAGCGCTTCCTTCTGTATGTTAATTTTTTTCACAACAAATATAATATTTTCTATTTACTCGTCGAGTACCGGGTATTAACCTATCCAATGGATAATGATAGAGACGTATAATTGCTGTTTTCAAAATTGATTTAACTCCGAATTAACTCTGATTAACACAACATCAACCCATAGAAAAACCGAAAATCGCAACTAAAGAAATACTCTCAAAAGTTCAACATTTAATGCGATTATGAAACAATTTGAATTCAACATGATTACTCGCCCCACCCCAAACAATTATAAATGAAACCGAAGCAGATATCCAAGAAAGAATGAGGCGACGACTTACCGCTGTTGGGGCTGTTGCAGCTGTCATATAATCCGGCCTTAAATAATGATGATTGCTGGATTGCAGCATTTTATTATAATTTGTTAAATCCACTTTGACGGCTTTTCTTTGGTGATTCGGCGGTGTTGGAGGTGTTGAGTTTTGTGGTGCACACTATGGTGCACTGCGCTGCGGTGCGGTTGGTGTGTGTTCCAGCCAGACCGCAGAGTGGTGGCAGGGAACGGTAAATGCAAGTTTATGTATGGCGTGTGCTGCTTGCTGTTGCCAACTCGTGTGAAAACGCTGCTTGCTGCCTAAACTCCGACGATGCTCCGATGACTTTTCGCTAACTAAGCCGTTCGTCGTAACGCAGCTTTTCTTGTAATTGTATTTAATAATTTTTTGTATTTTTTGTTGGAGTTTTATAATCTGCAATTGTTATTTGCAGTGCTGGCCTTTCATTATAATTTGATTTCATTAATAAGAGGTGAACTTTTTGTTTCATGTCCCGAATTGTGACTTTCACGCCAGTGGCTTATTAATTTGTTGCTGATTTTTATTTAAGCTCTGATCTGCTTTCATTGCGTAATAAATTCATTAAGTATTATAATTGCCTTAGCTCCCTTTTTTCTTTATTATTTAATTTAATTTTTTGGTCACTTTTAGTATGTGTATTTTACGCGCCAAATAAATTGCAAAAATGCTACACGAAATATAATAAATTATTTAAAAAGATATACACTTCTAGCTAATGAAATTACTTTCGTATATATTTTGTTTCCCTTATTTGTTGTGTTTTAATTTTTATTTATGGGTTTTCATTATTTCTTTGGCTTGGCCGTTTTTGGTTTGTGGTTTTGCTTGGTTGCCACTCGGCGAGGGCGCGTTTTATGATGAGGCACGTACGTGTATGTTTGGATTGGGTTTTGCGCCTCCGACAGTTGGTGTTCTGGAACCGATTTCTAATAGAGGATGGTATGGTAGATTTCCCCGGAACAAACAAATCAATAAATTTCTCTCGAATGTATTTCGTCGTGTATATATGTACGTATTGGGTTAAGACTCAGTCTAGATTATTATTATAAAGCACCATGTTATAGAACAAACATCACACAATAAATGATTTTACAAACTCATTATTATTTTTATATTTTATATTATTTTTATATTTTCGGCACCTAACTTTTTTTTTGCTTTTGGGGTATTTGATTGACACGCGGGACACACGCGCTTATTTTTCTTTGTGGCTGTGGAAACACTCCGGTCGTACAGTCCGGTCGTAGCGCACGTTCGAACTTTAAACGTGAAATAACAAAATTCGACTAAAAATCTATAAACAACATTCATTCTCGCTCACTCACTCGCTCGCTCGCATATTTGTTTCGTTTATTGCTCTCTTTCTTAGTATACCAGCAGCACTCTCCCTATCTCTCTCACTGAACGTTTTAGTGAGTAATTTTCATGAGTTTGAAGAGAGCAAGAGAAAACCAGTTCAGTTGCTGTCATTGCTGTGGTCGGTTTTAATTTTCAACAAGTGTGCTTTTGTTTTTGTCTGTGGCCCCAAAAACGCCATGCGCTTTACGCTGAGCGAAACAAAGAAAGAGAGCGAGAGCAAAGAAACGAGAGATATACCAGAGAGAACCGAAGCCAGAGCGAGATTGTGACAGCTTTGCTGAGCGTGCGCATAAAGCAACCATATAGTTGCTTTATGAGCGTGCGCATGCTTGGAAAAATAATAGTAGGAAAAAATTCCAAAACGTAGTAGCTGGGGAAAAGTAGTAGCACAAAAAGTAGTAGCTGGAGAAATTTTTTTTTTTTAATTTGTAATCATTATTAAGTGATCTTGAATACAAAATTCAAACTATTGTAATTACAAATTCGTAACATTAATTAAAATATTTTAAAATTAAATTTATTTTAGGTGTGGTTTATTTTTACCATAAAATACAAAACAAATAAAATATTTTAATTTCTGCCCAGTCCAGAGTTTTCTACCATTTCGGAAACAACAATCTTGATGGATCGAAAAACGCCTTTGAGTAGGTTACAAATTTAATAAATTATTTCCAAAAACGATTTTCATATCAACAAAAGCCACAAAAAAACGTTAATTCAATATAATATGTATGTGCCATTAGCGCAAAACTCGCACACAATGCTGGCAACACCGTCTCAACGCTACCCATTGGACGATCGCCGCTTCTGTGTAGCCATTTTGGGTTATTATACCCGGTACTCGAAGAGTAAATAGGGTATATTGTATTTGTGCGGAAAAAATGTAACACACAGAAGGGAGCTCATTCGACCCCACAAAGTATATATATTCTTGATCAGCATTAATAGCCGAGTCGATTTAGCCATGTCTGTATGTCCATCCGTCTGTCCGATTGTCCTCCCGTCTTGTTGAGCGCCTGGTTCTTAGAGACTATAAAAGCTAGAGCCACCAAATTTTGCATCGAGATGGCTGTATGCTCTCAATGCTACAAGGGTATTTCAAAATTTAGAACCCGCCCCTTCCTTAGAGATTGAAAATAACCGCTAAGGCTTACTACTGAGTACCAGGTATAAAAGTTGTGACGCGTAAGAAGCGTCTCACACGTCCCTTCTCGTTTTTCCATGTTGTTGTTACTTATGGGGATTTAATTTATATACATACTTATATGTACGGATATTTGAGAGCGAAACGCCATGGCGTCGGCCATTATTGTTTAAGAGCATGTGTGCGCGTGGCGTATGTTCGTGTGACGAAAACATAGGGGGGAAATGTGTTAAAAGATATTTGTTGGAAAAAATATGATTTATAGCATAGATAGTATGCAGAGAGTTTCCTGGAGAGAGAGAGAGAGAGAGAAAGAAAAAGAGAGAGAGAGAAAGAAAAAGAGAGAGAGAGTCGTTTCTGAGAGAGAGAGTTTTTTATTTTCCCGTCCTGTAAACAGAAAACAGCTGGTGGAAAAAGTGCGGCTCAAAAAGACGGAAAGTCGTTCGCAATACTTTAGACTAATATCCCGCATTTGGTATTTTTTTGTGATTGTTTTACTATTAGCTAAATTTGTTTGAAAAAAAATAAGGTTTACATCACTTTTAAAAATATATTCCCTATTATTTAGGCAAGCCTAAAAATAACCGTTATTTTAATTTCCAAAAGCTACCAAAATATCCAACAAAATTTGATTAGCGTGTCTCCAACTCATTTCGAGACCATTTGCTCTTCCAAATTTTGGCCAGAGCACCTGGTTGTCAAAGAGTTTAAGGCTAAGAAGAAAAATAGGCTCCCCATAACTCTTCCTAGTAGTGAGGCCAGTGGTCCTTTCTCCTCCGCTCCATTCTCCTCTTCCCACTGCAATTCCTTGCAGTCAAAAAACTAACATCCCTCTTTGTAGCCTATCAAAATGCTCGCGGCTTACGTAGTAAGCTGAGCACTCTTTTTATGGATAGTTTCACATTGTCATCCCATGTTATTGTGTTTACCGAAACCTGGTTAAAGCCGGACATTCTTAGTTCCGAAGTTTTGGCAGATCGGTACACAACTTATAGAAATGATCGTTCGTCTCGACGTGGAGGAGGGGTTCTGATTGCAGTAAACTCTAACTTTACGTCGGAACTTTTCATAGTCCAGGTCTCACAAGACCTGGAATTCTTCTGTGTTAGACTGATTCTTCCCGGCCAATATATTTATGTCACTTGCTCGTATATTCCACCGTCTTCGGATGTACTAATATACGAGCAGCATTTGTCTGCCTTAAAAACTGTTTCTTCCTCGCTATCAGATAAAGACCATTTAATAGTTCTTGGGGATTTCAACCTGCCAGGTACTGTCTGGTCTTCGGTTAACGAATCAAACAACCTTGTGCCCATGTCACGACATGAGTTTATTGATGGCTTATTAGACCTGTCCCTGTCTCAAGTCAACCATGTAAAAAACTCCTTGGGTCGATTGCTTGATCTGTGCTTTGTCTCGGATCCGACCGTAGCGTTGTTAACACGAGCACTCCCGCTCACTATACCTGAAGACTGCTATCATCCTACTTTCGAAGTGTCGATAGATATTGGACCTACTGTATCGGATCGTGCGGGTAGGCTATCTGAACGCGTCCGCTGCTTTCGTAAAGCCGAGTTTACGAAGCTCAATAACTTAATTCGAAATTTTGATTGGTCCGCTCTGTACTTGTGCAGTGACGTCATTGAAGGCACAAACATTTTTTACAATGTACTTGACACAATTTTTGACACGCGTGTCCCACTTTCATGTCCGACTAGATCTGCGAAACCTCCTTGGTTCACCAAAGAGTTATCCAGTCTAAAAAATCTAAAATGCTATAGGAACTACCTCCTTCGATGCAGGATACGTTTTTCACAGGACCCTAAACAGTTTTACAGCTTTGTAAACAGTAAGCGTAGAACGTCCGCACATCCATCCTCGCTATCATTTTTGAATATGTCGGCAAACAATGATCAGGCAATCGCCGATCTTTTTGCAACATTTTTTCAAACAACCTATTCCCAGCAAAGCTACCTAGGTCATATGTATCCATATAGTTTACCAAGGTCGAATGGCATTTTCTGTCCTTTGTTTAATGAAGGCTCCTTACTTCATGAACTTAAATTAGTTAAGCCGGTATTTTCACCGGGCCCTGACGGAGTTCCCGGCTGTGTACCCAGGTACTGTGCCGAGTCTCTGTGCGGACCTTTGCTTAAACAATTCTATCTATCTATCTATCTATCTATCCATTCTTCTAGCTTTCCCCCCATCTGGAAGGAATCCTTTATAATTCCTCTCCATAAGAAAGGTAGCAAGTCTGACGCTAAAAACTATAGAGGTATATCTAAGTTATCCGCTATTCCTAAAATGTTCGAGAAACTTTTAACTCCGCACTTGCAGCATCTCTGTAAATCACTTATATCTCCAGCACAGCACGGATTTATACGGCGACGATCAACAACCACTAATCTTTTAGAGTTCACCTCCTTTGTAATTAAAGGCTTCAAAGGTAACTTGCAGACGGATGTTATTTACACTGACTTCAGTAAGGCATTCGATTCTGTAAACCATTCTCTTTTTGCACAAAAGCTCGACCTTCTAGGGTTTCCGCCCAATCTATTGAGGTGGATTTCTAGCTTCCTGTGTTCTAGGTCTCAAAGGGTCCTTTTCAAAAACTCCTTATCTTTACCTGTTATGGTTACTTCTGGAGTACCACAGGGTAGCCATTTAGGCCCCTTACTTTTCACACTCTTTATTAATGACCTGCCTTCTGTATTAACAAATTCTCGAGTACTTATGTATGCGAATGATGTTAAACTCTGTGTCCAGTATAAGGACATTTCATTTCACTCTCGCTTGCAATCTGATCTCAATAGCTTTCAGTCATGGTGCTGTGCAAATATGTTACAACTTAATGCCTCGAAGTGCAATGTAATGACTTTTTATCGCTCCAGCCCCTTCCTGGCTCCTTACACCCTCTTCGGTAGTTCTCTTGAGAGAATTACATTGGTTGATGATCTAGGTGTTAAACTAGACCCCAAGTTAAAGTTTTCTGAACACATTTCTACCATGGTAAATAAAGCCATGGGTGTGCTTGGGTTTATAAAGAGGTGGTCAAAGGAATTTGATGACCCCTATATAACGAAGACTCTCTATATCTCGCTTGTTCGTCTGATTTTAGAATACGGCTCATGTGTATGGTGCCCTCAGTACAACATACATCAGGACCGTATTGAATCAGTACAGAAAAACGTTTTATTATTTGCCCTACAGGG